CCCCAATGCCCTAGGACCCCAATCCGCCTCGCATAGGTAACATTTATGCACTCTTGCCCTTTGGACCAAAGCATGCATTGCTTATAGACTCACACCCTAAACCCTGAACCCTAACAGTCCCGGAGACTCTGAACCCTGCTTGGAGGTCCAGGGTATGCAAAACGCACTTAGCCACTGTAGCCAGAAGCCAAGGTATAGTAAGTCTCCTAAATGCAAGTAAGATACGACACACATAGTTGGTTTTAGAAGTGAACTTACCCCAAGTCTGTAAAATCAGCCCAAAAGCCTGTTATAGTACGGGCTTTGGGTGCAAATGCCACAAATCACGAGTTCCTAGAGCCTTGGGCTTACTACATGAGCTATGATCTCCACTCCTAGTATCCCCCTGAAAAAACCCCTATATACTTCCCTATATAATCCCCTATATAACCCCCTTTAAAGAGCTTACACTATGGCACAAATAGGTTTTACTTACCCTAGACCTCCAAGTACAGCAGGTAGTTTTCCAAAATAGGGGGACCTCAATATATGCCCCACTATACTGTAATCCCTATTTTCGGGACCCCCAAGAAGGTACCCTTTATTTTGGGAAACCCCCAGCACTGTCTGTGGCACTGAGGCTATGCACGGGCCCAGCACTTCCTCCGCCCGTGGCACGACTAACGGTCCTTCTGGCCCTGGCTAACGCAGACTGGGTTGGTGTTAAGGCACTTAAATTAAGTTACCATATTATCCCCCTATAATGGAGAATCAAATGGGAAAGACAATGGAACATGAAATGGAAACTGGGAAATGTAGTAACAAGATGACTTCCCCAATAGATGGTAACTTCAACTAATTTCCGTAAAAGCAACCCAGCAGAGTCCACAGAACGGCTTAGGTGGACGGACCTTCTGAGGCCTTTTCGAAGATATGTGGGGTATAGACTTCACGGACCCTTTATGGGAGCTTTACGGATGTGAGAACTTAACATTGAGTGAACCCTAAACTATAAACCCTAGACATAACTTTGGGTTTGGGCATTTGGGGCTTGCAGCTATAGAGCTTGAGAGCTCCGAGTCCAAACACCACTGGAGTCGATAACTTAAGTCTTGCATTTGAGGGGAGTTGGGGCTTTCAGTGTTTGAGGGTTGTAGAAACTAGGGCTTGAGGGTTTGAGAGATGTGGCAGCGATGAAGTAAGGACTGGACGAAAAGAAGGGGGAGGACTTCTTCCTAGAGGTGGTTCTCGAATTCTCATAACAACAACTGGGTTGATGTGAAGGAACTTAATCCAAGTTACCATCTTGGGGAAACCCTATTATCTACTATATACACGCACTTAAGTTCCTGAACAGCAACCCAGACAAGCGTCTTTTCGTGGGTGGAATCGAGGCCCAATGGACTTAGCCCTTAGCAATCCCTGAGCCACCGCAGTCAAAGCTGGAGTTTAGGTCGTCACAAATTGGATGGGCTTCTGTGAACCTACTCGAAATTAATCTCCACAACCTGGATACATGGTAGTCTCTCATTTATTTTGGCTTGATTTGAAGTCCTTAGCAGCAATCCAGTTGGTCAGGACTTAGCTGGCATGTTCTGGGGATACGGGAGTGGTTGACAGGCTGAGGAGTATGGACCATCAGAGCTTAGGGGACCCCAAAACCACAGACACAAAAGCATGCTGGATTGCGAGGTTCAAAAAATTCGATTTCAAAGCGAATCCAACTTCGGCCTTTGGGCGCTGAGAGTTTGATTTCAGCATATAGAAGTGCCCCTGAATCCCAAGCATATACTGTGTAGGTACTTGGACCCTCTGCTGATTTGGCAGCTGCCAGAGAGGGTTTGAAGCAGAGGCCTTAAGGCTTTTCTGTAAAGAGAAACTGGGTTTAGGGTTCGGGACCTTCGTGATTGTCTTAGAGAAGTGATGCAAAGATGCTCCGTGTCGGTGCTGTTGCAGTACTTACAGGGTTGAAAAGACTTAGTAAGCAATTAATTCTGGGGGCGGCTGTGTCATTATCAGGCTTATACGTGTTGCATGAATACGTCTTGACCCTTGCTTCCTGCAAGAACTATGACATGCTGCCAAACAGACTGCCAATACTGCACGTTAGGTCTAACACACTTCTTCTCTTGCACGGGTATGTCCCAAACTCTGTAGCGCATAAGCACGTATCACACCCAAGACTTCCAGAAGCAGAGACTGTAGAGTCTTATGAAAACCTGTGGAAAGCATCAACACCCCATGAAGCACTGCACACTCTTCGGAAACAAGCGGCTGGAAGCTTCAACAATCAGGATGGGTCTCTGTGGTGCCTTTAAAGCCAAGTACGGCGCAAACCATTTCTGTAAGGGTAGTAGGGCACGTCATATAGACAGATAGATAGATAGATAGATAGACAGACAGACAGACAGAGCGAGAGAAGGAGAGAGAGAGAGCAGGAGAGAGAAAGAGACAGACAGAGAGACAGAGAGAGAGAGTGAGAGTGAGAGTGAGAGGGAGATAGAGAGGGAGAGAGAGGGAGAGGGAGATAGAGAAAGAGAGACCATGAAGTAAATCTGTATCACTAGCAATTGTTCCGGTTTTGCGGTGCTTCGCGCCTGGCTGAGCAAAGGTAGGAAGGCCCAGGCTTTGGTGCACTGCCTGAGGATGGAGCAAACCGCTTCCTCTACAATTAAGGGTTAACGGTTAACACGATATTCTGGATAAGATCTTCTCTGGGCATACCGAAGGTTACAGTCATCATACTACGAGATGGTGATGATAGTGATGGTGGTGATGGTGGTGATGGTAGTGGTAGTAGTGGTGGCGGTAATGGTCGCAGTAGTGGTGGCGGTGTTCGGGCTGGTGATTTTTGTAGTGGTGGTTTGTGGCGTCCTGCATGACTGTAGGTCATGCAGATTCGAGGCTTGGGTCGGAGACATGGACTCACTATAGGGATACTATAGGGTTATATAGGGATACTATAGGGTTACATACGGATATTATAGAGTATAGAGTGATATAGGGATATTATAAGGTTATATAAGGATATTGTAATGTTACGGATTGATGAGGGTTCAGTGTGATGGGTTCCTGTTGGGGAACAGAGTAGCGGAAGTGCAGAAATGCGGGGCTAATCGATTGTATAACCGTGGACATCCGGTTGATGGTGGCCTCAACGACGATCCTTGAACTAAAGTCCTCCACGCCGCAATCCACAGGTATCCGTGCCTAGACCCTGTAAGATGAGCGTCGTGGCAGAAAGTGAACCCTTCAACATCATAACCCTGACGTTACCTGCGGATGGCTCAAAAAAAGTACCTGGGTAACGTGACACCGTACGGATTCGGCACAGAGCATTTTGCGTTNNCCCCCCCCCCCCCCCCGCCAGCTGTACGCAGCTGCATTGTACATATAAACGTATTTGAACACTGTAAACCCACACACGCATCAGTAAACCAAAGCAAGCCAAACTCTAAATCCAACCCTTCAGCCTAATACCTAAACCCGCAACCCTACACCCCACAGCTTAACCCCATTCACTCAGAAAAACCTTGGACCAGTGACCCTTCAGCCTTAAGCTCTCAAACCGTTTGCTGTGCCCCAGACCCAGGGTAGCACCAAAAGCTCAACTGGCGAAGCCTGGCTCACTTATGTAGGGGGGGTATTAATATAAGGGAGTATAAGGTTCTTAAGGGGGATACTAGGAGTTTAGAGTACAGCTCCCATGTGGCTCCTTTTCGGCTTAGGGTTCTGTAGTTGACTGCTGGGTGATCCAGAATGATCCCTGGGTTATAACTACAATTACTGAGCAGGTTGTCCGGGATTGCAGCTTATGGTTTACGATTGGAGCATGGGCTCAGGGAGGCGTTAGGACGCATGCGGTTCGGCTTGACTGTTTACTTAAAAGGGTGCAATCCGAGATTAGGACGCTGCTTCTGGATTTAGGTGAAGGGTCGACTGTTTTGGGCTGAAAAAATAGTTTGAAAGCTCCGGCTCTAAGCCCTCAAACCTAGCCTGTGGGCGGGGTGGGCCTCTGCCACAGTGGTTCATAAGGAAACTCCAGGTGGCCTTTATCCAACTTGAAACCCCACAGGGTGACTTTACAACTCAGGGCTAAGCCCTAAACCCTGAATCACAACTAAGCAACATGATTGCTGTGAGCCTGAAGGAAAAGGCACAGCGGGATTTCCCGAAGCGAGGCGTCCGCATCGTGTCTTTGGGAGTTCCAGAACATTTAAAGTAAATGTTGGACTTGTCTGTTCTTAAACCCCAACCTTCGCAAAACCTATGCATGCTTGCACTTGGGCATCTGAAAAGCCATCATCCTAAACCACATGCCCTGAACCTTACGCGGTCATGCTCTCTGGTTTCCTCCCTTTGCGCACAGCTGCTGTCTTGAAGCAAGACATGCTGCTCGTCCCAGCACTACAGCCCAGACCCCTGGGAGGATCTAGAAAGTAGATCCCCCTTAAGGGTTCCTAGAAACTACCCAATAGTAGTATAGGGTACCAAATTGGGGGTTCTACTTTCTAGATCCTCCTAGAGGTCTGGGAGAATGCAAAGTCTCGCGTTCCTAGTGAAGCATCTTGGGCACAACTTGTCACCGAAGTAACTGCAAAGGACTACTTTGCGACTTTGCGGGATAGCAAGCCATGATATGCCTGCAACTTGTATGATTACCTACGCCTAGGGATCCAACCTCACAAATAATACCTGCATTGGGCCCTGAAGTCTGTAAATGTTACCTACATTGGGCTATTTGGATCCGTACCCTTCTCCCTAAACCCTATCCCCTCACCTACATTGGGCTATTTTGATCCCTAGGATACTGACTGGGGCTTTGTATAAAACGGCCATTTGGAACCTGGGTGCCCGGTACTCTAAACATTTCATCTCCACTCGCCTAGGCCAACTCGTTAAAGCCCCACTGAGCCATCAAACCTGAAACAACCAAACCCCTTGATGGCACCTACAAACGCTCAAAACTGATATGCTAGGCTTATGAACTCTGAGCTCGTCATCACTAGGCAGAAGTGCGGTCAGAAGGTAACTCGCTTCTTCTTCCTGTTGGGCTCATCTTCTTCCATCCTCTCGCGTCTCAACCCAGAGAAGACATTATGTAAACTACTGATTTTAATCTGACAGGGCCGGGCCCCCTGGACGCCAAGCAGGAAAACCACCACAAACCCTGTAGCAGATGTAGGGCTGCGTAGGAGACCTGTAAGGAGAGTGTTTGGGCGGGGGGTCTACCCCAGGGACTACACCCTCTCCCTTAAACCATGCCACCACACATCCCTTAAACTCAGAACCTTAAAGCCTACAAAAACTTGAAGTACACCCAAGAGACCTTAAACTCAAAACCTTAAACCCCACAAAAACTCGAAATGAGCTAAGCGAGTCTCGTTGAAACTCCCAAGAGCTTCTGAACGGCCGTGGGGAGGCTGCCATTCTTGAGCCTGGGTCTGACTTTCACCCTGAACCCTAAACCTAATCACTAAACCGGCCTCAGAACCGCACTAACAATCATGATTTTGGGTTGTTATTAGGAAATACAAGCTAAAAATATGTTGGAGGCCCCTTTACCTAAACCCTAAACCCTAAACCCTAAACCTATAGATCACAATAAGTGATTTAAGCAACCCGGGGTCCAAGCACCCAAAATGGTGCAGACACCCAAAGTCACATTTGTACAAATGACTTACATATGTTAATATATAGTCCCCCTTAAGTAGATAGAATATGGGGTATATGGGGATCTTATTATAATGTACCCAAAACGATATTCTATCTACTTAAGGGGGACTATACGTATCCACACATATATGTGAAGCCTCATAGCACCCCTGTAAATCAAAAACATCAGTGCCCAAGATATGTGCTAATTATATGAAGATACCTTGCTTACGCGAACATCGGGGTATACAGCTGGTAGCGAAATAGGAATGTTTCTGAAGCTATCTGGCAACATGGATTGGGTTGTTTCATCCTTGGCCGCAAAGCGAAGGCACGCCTTCTGCAACGGCTCTAAACCTTTGAGCGCGGCAGCTTCCGCGATTTCAACGAAGCTGTTGGTGGTGATCATTTTCGGCAGCGAGCCCAACAGCCTTGAAGGTTCTATAAGGATAATGGACAAGAAAATGGAAACTACCATATTATATAAGGGTAATATAGGGGATATATAGGGATCATGGAAACGAAAATGGAAACTACTGTGTTATTGTGTCTTCACATCTTTTACAGAAGTCAGCTGCCATCAAGAGAAAGGCAGCTTGATAGCATTGTCAGAACCTTGATGTCGCCCTGCGTAGCTTACTGAAAAAGCATTGCCAAGGACATCCTATAGAAACCCCACAAGTCCCCAAGAAATCTAATCAGTCAAAACTCATATCGACAATGGAACTCACCTGCCATCGGTGGGCCAAATCCAGTGCCGTCAGCATGGACTTGTAGTCGGGGTCATTGCAGGTGGAGCCCGTGTAAAGTATATCCTCCAGCGTTCATAAAAACAGGTTGGGGCTTCACAAAATCCAACGCCTGGACAACTTTAAAACAAAAAAATGCCCGGTAGGCCCAGAATCCAAGAACAGCGAGACACCGGATTCCGAGGAATCCCTTACTTGAATGCGCTTACTTGAACCCTCCTTCATTATGGACTGCAGCATGGCATTCAGCATGGGAGATGCGAGCAGAAGCATGTGCTCATGAGCTGATACCTCCCTTCCTGCAGTTTCAAAGATCAAGTTGTGGGTGGAGGTCATATTCCTGGCGGACTCCCACAGGTCAATCACACTAGGATGCACTGCAGCTTTCTGATCTTTCGAGGTGGCTGTACCTTGTTCATTATTATCTGTGCCCGAACTTTTTATGTGTCTCTCACAATGGTTTGCTGACTCTGCGCCGCATGATCTGTCTTGCTGAATGAGACCCAGTGGCGTGTAGCCACTGAGAGGAACTTTTCCATGTCCGTGATTTGTTCTGACCAGTCTGCATCGCCCATCCCTTCTCGCATGGCACGCATGCATAAGAAGGCCGCTGATATTGCGGACTGCCCCGCTAAGTCAACTGAGATTAGCGTGTCCTCTTGCTTCGATTGGACCCACGCGCGATGCATGCTTTTGGATTGGATGGGCGCTGCCTGCTGAGGGTCTGCACCGGAACGTATTATCCATTCAGCGAGTTGCAGGAAGGAATCTGCGCTCAACGCGGATATGAATTTCTTTCCAACCAGATAGACCAGCGGAGGCAGCTTGAGCTTCCCGAGTAGGCCTGTCCAGTCATAATCGCTTGGTGTGAATTTCTTTAATCCTTCCAGGTCACCAAGCAGGAGGAAACCTTCCACCACTTCATCAACCCTTCCTTGGGCCATGGGCTCAGCTAGCACAGCTTCAGATCTCAACTCTCCTTCTTGGAAACTTTGGTCCCCCTTAAGTAGATATAGGGGTTATATAGGGATAATGGAAAAGAAAGTGGAAACTACTATTTAGGGTTTAGGGTTTGAAGTAGAGTAGCATTATTTGGTTGAACCTAGTAATATAGGGATAATGGAAAAGAAAATGGATTCTACTGTATTATAATAGGGTATATATTGGGGTTATATTGGGTCTTGTCTGCAAGAACAATCCTCTGCTAGCTGGTACTTCGATGACATTCCACGTTCCATGGGTTTGTGATGTGTAAAAGTCTCAATCTCCAGTCATTTTGAAAGCGTTGACTTGATTGCGGACATTTGTGCGCAAATTTGGGTCCAGCAAGGTTGTCAGAGAAACGTAGGTCAATGCAAATCACCATGAGGTTCCGAAGGAAATGAACTGAAGACTGCTCAGGCGAAGCCTCAATCAGTCGCCATAGCAATCCCCAAAAGCCCGTACACAAGCGCAGCATAATGTAGTCCCAGACATTATTCTAATCATTCAGGTCCTATATCAGACGAAAGTATCACAGTCTCCTCAGCTTCGACCCACCAACAACACACCCTACCACTATGGGCTATTAGACCCTAAAATTCCCTCTTAGGTCCCTATTAAGGGTAGATTAAGGTACCTTTGAGGTCTAATAGCCCGTAGTGGTACACCCTAAACCAACCAACCTAAATGCCTTAACCCTGAACCCTCAACCCTGACCCGGGTTCATCTTTCAGCCTGTGCAGCGCTCACTCGGGAACATGGAACGTCTGAGTACAAATGTCGTTTTAGAGGTCCTTACACTACTGTTGTTGCTAGAAAGCCTGCAGACCCACAGTGCCATATTCCCAAGCCACAAGGCACTTGGGGTCATGCAGGATCTTCAGGATCCACCGTACCAATATTATAGTGAGATACTGATACACATAGAGCATCATGAGAACCCTTAAGCCTTAAGCCGTAAAATGTTGAGGCTCTGAGGGATTGTACTTTAGGGATGGCTAGGGTTGAGTGGGCCGTCAAAGTGTGCGGGCTTCAGGGCTTAGAGTTTAGGAGAAATACACAGGTAGATGAGTCGTTGCAGCATTTACAAGGTATTCATGCAGAAGACCTTATCTCCACAATGTAGAATCCGGTTTCCGATACACCAACCCCACAACCTAAGAACCAAATCCTGAACCCCAACCCCTAAATCCACCACGACCTGAGGGCTTAGGGTTTAGGGGTTTACTGAAGCTTGAACCCGAAATCATGGTTCATGGTTCAAAGTTCACGGCGATGACACAATTCAGCCCCAATCGCTGTAAGAGCCCTCAAGCTGAGGCAATTATGGTATAATTGTTTACTAGAATAATGTTATTGTTATACCATTATTCTAATATTATGTTTACTGACGTCATGCTGCGCGTTTAATATCAACAACAGCTTTTGTTTCCTCATGGCGCAAAGGCTGATACAACGCCAGATGAGCCAGACCTCCCAACAGTGCAACATGGGAGTTGGGGCTCAGGGTTTAGGGTTTAGGGTTCAAGATTTAGGCTTCGCATGATGAGCACTGAACCCTAAACCTGGGGAAGCCTTAGCAACCTCGGGGATATGTTATGGCGTTATGTACGGATTACGAGGGTCCCTAATAGAGGATGAGAAAGGGCTTCTTTTGAAACACCTCCACATGAAGGCTCAGCATATGGGCCTAAACAAGTAGAATATGGTTTTGGGATGTTTTGGGATTTGCGTTATACTATAATTACATCAGAACTTTGAAGACTAGTATGTATTGCTAACTGTTGAGCCGTCTTTGCTAGTGTCGGGCTTAGGGTTTAAGGATCCACGTTTGCGGAGGAGATTTTGGAGGGTAGGGTACCTGGTTTTATGACTCTTGGGCAGCAACGGAAATATACAACGGAAGTATAGCAAACTTAATTGCAAAGCGTACGAATGCATATTAGGGATCGTTCCTGTGCACCTGCAAGCCAACTCGTTTGACCTGAACAATTAGTGCTGCCCACCTCTACATCCTAAATCCTGATCCCATCAAAAACTCAAAATGCCTGGTCAGAAGGTCCGACGTTTCTTCTTGCGGCCTGCGTCTTCTTCCGCCTGCCTCTCTTGCCCAATGACCAAAAAAGAAAATCATGGATCAATTACTCGAAGGCCTAAGCCACGATCGAAAAAAAAAAATCAGGGAAGTTCATGTGGCAGTCTGCACAATTACATTACGAATATTATTCCTCTACAACCCGTGTATAAATGTAGAGTCTATAATGGGTACCAAAACCCTGTCGATATCACTTAGGACGCAGCAATAAACCGAAACCGCGCTAACAAAGCAAGTCTCCCAGATGCCCCCAGGAGCTTCTGCACAGCTTTAGGAAGAGTGCCATTCTTCAACCTGGTCTGCTTTGACCCCTGGGTCTTTAGGGTTCACGGTTTAGGGTTTAGGGCCTTTTGATGGTTGCTATAGGGTTAAGGGTTGGAGCCTGTGTAAGCTTCGGCGGAATATCTCGGAGGTGTTGGCCGCAATTTGGCTTCTATGCCGAACCTGCGTACAGCTTCTATGAGCCTCCAAGTAATGTCACCATGTTGTCGGCTTTCAACAAATTAACAGGCGCCGATGTTTAAGTGGCTTTCCTTACAAGCATACGATGATTGTAAGGTCGAGTCTAGTCGCATGATCTGTACCTCTTCGTTGTGTGCCCCATAGCTAGCGCAAGCCCGCTTCAGTGACTCCAGGCCCTTGAGAACCGCAGATTCCGCAATGGCCACGAAGCTATCAACTGTGATCAAGTCGGGTAGGGCGCCCAACAGCCTCGCAGCTTGATGTTTGATTAGGGCTTACTTTGTGGAACTCTGGGGCTACTCAGGGTTCGGGAGCCGATTTACGATGGGCTACATGAAGATATAATGGTGGGAGTTCCGGGGAAAGATCGATTATTACCTAAGCTCAGAGTCCCTGAACGTGGCGTGTGAGGCATCAAAAAAACAATCACTGTCTTTCCCAGCTTTCTCAGGTACCCCGAAAGCTCCAAAAGCTAACAGAATCAGGGGTGCATATCCACAATGCCATCCACCTGCCATCGGTGCGCAAGATCCAAAGCCACCAACATGGACTTGTAGTCGGGGTCGTTGAAGGTGGAGCCAGTGTAAAGCATATCCTAAAGTACGAAACACTCGAACACACACACACACACAGAGAGGAAACACACTCGTCAAGACTAATGCCGCCCGTGGACGGCGCGAGCGCTGTGAACGCCGCGAACACAGCTGCGAACACGACAACATGGCCGCCGACATGGCCGTAGGCCGCAAACACGCGAACACGGCTGCCAACATGCGAAAACGGTCGCGAACTCGTGAATATGTCCGCGAACCGTGAGCGCACCAACACTACCGCGAACACGCGAACACTGCAAACACGCAAACCGGGCAACGCGGCCTACAAAGGGCAGAAAACTGAGGCATATACACACAAACCAAAAGCAGCATTCCTCATACGAAAATACAAGCATTGGAAGAAAGCATTCTGCTGAGTGGGCTCCAGCATCTAGGAAGAGCGAGACGCCAGATTCCGAGGAATCCTTGATTTGAATGCGCTTGCTTGAACCCTCTTTCATGATGGACTCCAGCATGGCCTTCAGCACGGGAGATGCGGCCGTAAGTATTTGCTCATGGGCAGATACTTCGCCATCCGCCGTTTCAAAAAGCAAGTCGTGTGTGGAGGTCATGCTCCTAAAGGTCTCCCAGAGATCAAGGACGGTGTGATGCACGGCTACCTTTTGGCTCTTTGCGCCAGCTGTACCTGGACCAGCTAAATTCACCCACTACTTAAAGCAGACCTTCACATTACCAATGACAAGACTTAACCGCAATCTAAACAGCAATAAGTTCAACTTGGTAACGTGCAGCCAGCTTGACAAAGCCTTCCATGCATTTTATATCAGAGGACCAATCCGCACCGCCTTTGCCTTCCCGCATGGCACGTATGCATTCAAAAGCTGCTGCAATCGCAGACTTATTTGCAAAGTCAATAGTCATCATCGTAGCGTCCGATTCGCTCTCGCTCCACGCACTATAGGAAATCTCCTCCGTGTCAGGCGCAGGTTGCTCAGGGTCTGCTCCACACCGAATCAACCACTCCGCACACTTCAAGAAGGAACTTGCTGGGACTTGGTGGATGAATCTCTCGCAGACCAACATCACTAGCGGAGGCTGCGGGGGATCCCCAATCATGCGAGTCCAGTCGAAGTTGGCCGGTGTAAATTTCTGTAGTCCTCCTAGGTCACCAAGGCTAAGAAAGCCTGCCACCACATCATCGCTTCCGGCTGCCATCTGCTCAGCTCACGGCGGCCGGACGCTAACACCCTTACTTCCCCGAAGCTAGCACAACGAAGCCTGCAATATTCGCCCCGTTCCACGCATGTCTGCAGTACATTTACAGCTACAAGAGACGATGGAGGACCGTGTCTATAATGAATCTCGGCCAAATCATCTTGTGCTTCGTAGCCGAGACTCGGCGTTGATTGAGAAGTGATTGGTTTCATGGCATCTGCTGTTCTACACTGGTTTTATATACTTACAGGTAATAAGTGCACTAGTTATCGAAAAGCTAGCTGTTCTCCGAGCCCTCCCGGCAGACTAGCTTTCGAGTGTTGGCCTTGCAGCAACACTTCTCAGTCAGCGACTGGGGGCACGCCTAGACTCCAACATAATTAGACTAATCGCCTTGTGCAACGGTCTAGAATATTTTGATGGGGTCGATATTCCAAAGCCATATATACCAGAAGCAGACCAGAAGATTACAGATGCGAGTAATCTTTTGTTTGGAGTATCCTAGATCTCTTAGACAAAGCACAAATACGCAAATGGCGAATACAACGCTTTGTAACGTTTTTACATCACACTGATTGCGAGAGGTAACTTCCAGGATCCAAGTGTACAAACAATACCTACATTGGACCCTGAAGTCTAGAAGCATTACTTACTTTGAGCTGATTGGATCCCCAGGGTATTGTGCATTGCAACAGCAGTGTACCTGTCGCACGCTGCCTAGGTTGGAGCTCAAGATGCCCCTGTTTTTCTTTTAGGGAAGAGGGATTTTAGGGGCTTGGGGTAGATGATTCCCTTTGGGCTGCAGAAAGATTCTGCAGCATCTTGATCAATGCCTTGCTGAGGGCTACAGGGGAGCCCGAATGGTAGGTATCAGAAATCCTGCATGGATCGAGATACCGAGACAGATACCTGGAAATACGTCAGCAATAACAGTGTCATGGTCTACTGATGTTGTGCGAGGATTTTCGTATCAACAGCAGCACTAAACCTCGTAGGGTAGGGCATGGCTAGCTCTACACCTTCAGTCGCTGACGCGCCTGAAACTCTCTTCCTTGCAGGTTGTGAGTACTGAGTGCAGGATCACTGTAGCGGCCTTACATAACCCTAAATGGTATGATACAATATGATGGTTTTCATTCTCGCTTCCAGCCTTTCATTCCCTACTAACAATCAGCAACACTGGAGCCAACAGAAGCCTCTAACAGTGCACGGACCAGTTCCAGGGCAGCACAGGTGATGGGATACGCGCCAGCCTGCGCCAAGTCGTAATCATGCTTGAAGGCGCGTGGCTTAGTAAGCACGCGTGTTGGGGCCTGTGTCCTCTGTCATACTTGGGAAACGCACTGCAGAAGTGGTGCGAGGGATGCTTCTGACTCTCCGAGTTTTCCAACAAATCAAAATGCTCCAGTAGCAGATGGCGGGCAGAGGAGTAGACGAGTTGTCGCAACATAGGTACATAAGTGGCGCATAGAGCTGCGCGCCTTTAGCTGGGAAGATGCAGTGAGGCATGATCCAAGCTAATGAAAAGGCCAGGGCCACTTCACAGCGGGTCCTACTTGGAGGTCCATTGTACTTATAACCTACTTAGTAACTGTAGTTATAACCCAAATATAAGTCCCATAACTACAATTACCCTAGATATAATTGGGTTATAACTACAGTTACTAAGTAGGTTATAAGTACCATGGACCTCCAAGTATCTCGTTAAAGCCAAGCCCAGTCCGCACCGGCTGAAGGTGTGTTGCACTTGGGCTTCTAGAGAGGTGGTGCTACCTTTATTTTTGTCTTACAAGATTCACGCAACCTCGTAGTGAAGCACTGACCCACTACAGGGCCACCTTATCCAAGGACAGTTCAGATTTAGGCTCAGCTTGGCCAGCTCTCTACGTGGACCCTTCAAATGCCTTCCTCCTAGCCGCGTCACGCACCCACCATTCGGGACCCTACACGCAAATTGAGGGTTTTGTGGGGGCCTCAATAATTACCAATATCGATCTGAGGTCCACTTGACTGAGGCAGCCCAAAAATTCAACACCTCCTCCTAAAAGACCTCGTGTATATACATATATCTATATACATACACACACATGCACTTATTTGGCAGGGCATATTTCATATTGTGAGTAAAGGGATGTTTAATCTCAGTATGACGCGGTTGTATAACGATTTGAAGACCCCATGCCAGCATTCTTCTGATATGGTGTCACCGTAACATGAGCGCGGGGCCCAAAACTGACCCCAGACCTCACCCATACCTGTTTTCATGACTTGTAACATGCCTTGCGCGCTCAAAATTGAAGCTTGATATCAAGAACCCCATGCCTACTGCTGATGTATGACATCTTGGACCACCTCAAGTCCCCAAGAGCCAGGAATTACAACCTCTCAGCTAGCCAAAGTGTCGCCGGAACTGTTAGCACTAGCACGCGCAGCGCAGGCTAAATGCCCATGGGTCTGCGACGACTGTGACGATGATGCCTTTACGCGCCGCCTTCTCGACCTGAGTCGCGCCCTTTATACGTCACGCCAGTATTTTAGTCACTGTGAACATCCAGATTTGAACCCTCTACTCCCTCCCCAAAGGGCACGCTGCCTGACCATGACCTCAAATTTCAGTCCTTGTTCCGAAATGCTCAGTCTACCCAGAACTCTCTCCCCGCGGGCTGAAGCATCTAGAATTCAGAAAGTGAGTGCTTGTGGCTTGTTCGGCTAGATTTGGGGAAGTTGTAGGAAGTATCTACATTGGGTACCTCAAACCGTACTTGGAGTGTCGGGGGGACTTAGTAAGCAGGTTAATACTCCCCATAATCCAGATAATGCCCCTGGTTATCCTCACTACTAACCTACTGACTAAGTTCACCTGATCGTCTAAGGCCCGCTAGCACAGAGCTTGGATGCAATCAGCTGGGTCCAAGCCTCGCGCTCTGCATCAGCAAGGCCTTTTTGGGGGCGGTTTGAAGTTTGAAGGTTTGGGGTTTGGGGTTTAGGGGTACTTCCTTAAGTGTCCAAGTACCGACTTATCAAGTACTTGGGGTCCTTCTACAGGCAGGCATATGGGATATATATATATGTATATATATAATTACTCATGAACATGTAAAGGTATATGTAGGCAAAAAAAAAAAGATTATGAGGTTGTGTTAGGTTTGACCTACCGAATAACTTAGTACGTGGGATGTGCAGTGGTAACTGTAGCACAGGTATGACAATTGAGCACATAGTGGTCTATTGGCACCGTTTGGGGCCTTGAGGAGCTTTGAACCAAGGACTCGAGGCAAATTAGGGTCGTGTACTGTGGACGGATGAAACCTTGCACTTCCGTCGATACCCTTGGAAAGGCTGGGACTGTTGGATCGAACACTGGCAAGAAAATGGTGGCCATGTATAGCAGTGAACTCGTAGCTCGGAACCTCAGAATTTTAGCAAACCGCGCAATCAAGTTCCTGAACGCAATCTGCTGCACTGCAAGGAACATGAAGGTGGCGCAAGGCCAAGGCGGACGGACACCAACAGCATTCTGCGGTAACAGACCTCCAGCTTTGGTACAAGGCCACATGAAAAAGGATAAGTTAGCGCGCCACCTCCTGAAGATCCTCGATAGAGCCACAACCCCTCTACACCACCCCTAGCAGTCACCAGATCTAAGCTTGGGGACCGTACTCCGTTGCACCCCATGTAACGTCCACCTTACGTCTTGTGAACCCTACGCGATGATGAAACTGAATCATAACTTGATATCGTGTCCACGATCCTGCAGCCGAGCCTGACAGCACGTTGACGAAGTCAGCGACGTTGCCAGATGCATAAAAAGCCGTGGGTTCGCCCTGTGGACATTGGTTTGTTTTGGGTTCCGGCCTCAGGGTGTATGTCTGCAGATCAGGGGGACTGTCCAAGAAGTACACGTGGACCATGGCCATAAGGGGGGTTCCAACAATCAGTAGCCTCTTTCTTGGAGTTCCTACAGTAAGGAGCATGATAGATTCAGCTGCATATTGGGGCCCCCCATCGTGGAAAACCTCCATGGTCCATAGATAAATGCACACGCGGAAATCGCAACAATATTTTGAAGACAAATTGGACCGTGGAGCCCTGCTGGGCCAGTTCATTTCAAATCCGGCTCTTGGCGCTTAGACTCTCTACTTTCCCTACCGCTGAAAAAAGTCACACATGATAGTAGGCAGCGGCTCAAGAATCCAAAACAGGCATTACCTAGCACCTGCATAAACGAAATGGCAGTGACAGGACTAAAGGTAATCACCTCCACCTAACAAACCCCCCAGCTCCCTGATGATAATTATTCGCAACAATACACGACAATCTATAGGGGGGGGAAGGAATATTCATGCTGGGGCCATGTAGTTCCTTTCTGGATAGCATATCATATTTCCTTACCTCACAACTATAACGAATCCAAAATAACTACATGGGAGCCCTTGGGTGCACGCGAATCCGACTCTTCTGAAGCTGAAGCCTTGAACATCTGAATGTGAAGCCTAAACCCTAGACCCCAAAACCTATACCATAACTCCTAACCCCCTAACTCTGAACCCTAAACCCTAAACCCTAAATGGAGTGGCAAGGGGTATCCCAGCTGCAAGATGTCAAACAAACTTCGCATTTGAGGATTTCCCAAAAGTAGGGTACCTTGTGAGGGTCCCTGAAATAAGGATTCGGGTTGAGGTTTTAGGGTTTAGGGGTACCTTTTCCGGGAGTCCCTACAATAAGGATTCTACAATATTTGGGTCCATAATCGGGTTCCCTTGTTTGATGGAAACTACCATGGGGAAATTCTAGGAAATGTCTGGAAAGGTCGGAGAATATCAGGTGTTGGGCTCTTAGGAGACATTATCATAATCCTCATGTCTGACTCAGCGGGTTAGGGGTTAGGGTTTTAGGGTTTAGGGCTCAGAGGCATCATGATTCTGCCTTCAAGCTTCCAAATCTCGACTACAAGAAGCTATCCCAATCTTGTACAACACCTCTCTGCTGGAATAAGGCTT